TAAAGCACCACAGGAATTTCTGCCACTTTATGTCACCTGTTTGGAACGTGTGTGCTGCTCTTTCATGTGTTAAAAAAAACAGGAGGGAAGAGCTTAGATGACAGATCTATGATTATGCACCCTCAAAACACCAGCCTGGTGAATGTTTAAGATAGTTGTATATAGTGAGTAATACATGAATGCCTAAATAGTTAAAATTCAAAACCTTATTCCCATAGAAACTAGCTTACGGGATTTCTTGACCCCATAAATTTACAAAGCAAGGTATCCCACTAACGCCTTTTTGAATTGCATTCAAGGCCATTGTGTCTCCCTCCCCTCACAATACGCTTAGCTCCTGCTTAGGTGCTCAGCTATTTCCAGCTCTCCCAAGAACAGTAATTCCTACCTTCCCCTCACAATCCCTTCTCCCCACCACCATCATCCCACGTGGCTGCACCTGTCTATATGCAGGCTGAACTGCTCAACAGCTGCCTTCTGGAACAGCCCCTGTAGCCACTGTTGATGTGAACCATGCTACAGTGAGGGAGCAGGAATCTGAGTCTCTGCAACAGTTTATTTTCACATCGAGGGTGTCTATAACTTGGGCAACAGGTTTCATTTTTTGGAAAGAGGTGTGGAGAGGGAAAATTGAGAAATAGCCTGGAATGCAAGTAAGAAACCAATTCTTTTCACCATTAAAGTGACAAAACTCACACAGAGAGAAAATGCCATTGTTAGAGAAATAGCTTACTGCTTTCCCAGGTGAACACGTGACAAATTTAGCACGTTTTCCCCAGAAGTACAGTCCTGCTTACTTCACCCATTGTGCCTACCGAAAGCCAACCGACATGACTGGTCCTGGAATCCTATCTCTGCTGCCAGTCATGGCAGAATACATTTGTTTCTTCAGACTGCATGGTCTCCTCTGCCTCCAGCAACAAAGCATGTAACACTTATAAACGTGTGAACTTCTCAACAGCCTCCCCAAAGGGAAGAGAACAAACTGTTCTTCCCTCCCTGCTCCCCAGACAAAAGCTTTAATTATGTTGTACTGCATTTCCTTCTAAAATGAAACCTGAATTTCTCATTTAAAGATAAAGTATTACACATCTCCACGGACTCAGGTTAAGGTGTACAGGGTTTTGTTGGAGACTAGGGGACACTATTGACACATACACCCTCATGAAACTAAATCAAGAAGTAGAACAAGAAAACAGGCCTTGCTTTACTCAAGCTGCTGATACCACTCATACTTTGTAAGCTGGCTTGCTGCTCATAGATCCCTTTTGTTGGTATGTACCAAAGAGCCCACCTTCTTAACAGGACAAAGACAAAAAGTAGTGTCGTCTCTCTAAGGTACTTTTTTTTTTTTTGGCAGGGTACATAAGCCTTTTTCTGTAAAAAAAATTTAAAATTTAAAAGGCCTGAGAGAGACTCGTGGAAAATAGCAGCTGTTTATCTCTCACAGCAAAGTAGTGTATCTGTTTTCTTACACTCCATAGTCTAGTAAACACTGCAACAGATGCCAGGAAGGGAAAGGCAAGAAAAAGGAGGGTGGGTTATACCAAACACTGATTTCATTCACATGCTCATTGAAATTCGGAGCTGGGGGGTAGATGGTGCAGATTTCTTTTAAGGGGAAAGTCTGTCTGTGAGAAAAACCCTGCTAAAATCACCAATTATTGTTTAGGTATCAGAATGCAGTGAGCAGCATACACGCAGGAATGAAGGGCAAGGGAAAATTGTCTCTTTTGATGGCATTCTCAGCTTTAAGGTCACCATGAAGCAAGGTCTTATGAATCTTGATCACGTAACTTACTAAACAGAAAGAAAAAAACACCACAAAAATTACGTCACTAGTTCAAAATTAGAACCTAAAGCTCAGAGCACTGAAGACAAATATACTATCATATAAAGCCACTCTTCCTCCTTCATACCTCACACACATGTGGATGAGGAAACTGGCTGGCTAACTAGCAAAACCAGAACAAAATTCTCAACTAGCTGTAACAGAGGCAGGGTCATTTTCCTTTTCATTCCAGAGCATCTAGTTTTATGGAAATTTTAATTCAGGCAATGATCCTTAAAGCTATTGCATAGCTTCTCGTAAAGCTCAACAAATGCACACAAAACAACAACAAAAAAATACAGCAGGAAAAGAAGATTTATCATAAATGCGGTCATCTGGATACAGCTAGAACTATTCTAGAAACTCCAGAGAGGAAGGAAGATAAGGGAGAAAGAGAATGTATTTATTTATAGCATCGCCCACAGATCTCACACTGCTTGGAAACTCTTCAAAGATGGTGGCATATACATCACAGAAATGGAAGCACATTCCATCTCATGGCCCTCTCCTGCACAGTAGGATGAGTCACTTATCAGAAACACAACTCAATTTTAAAACTCTTCAAATAACTTCTATGCCATACAGGGAAAAAAACCCAGCAAATTACTTGTACTGCTTGGTAAACCAAATGAAAAAAAGAAGTGGCAAAAGCACGCCTGGATCTCTAGGTCCCAGAACCTAATAAAAAACATCCTAAGAGCATTTTTCTTTCCTCTACGCTTTATGTTCCTCCACAATACTGCTCTTCACTTTACCCTGAATTATGGAGCTCACTGAATTTTCTGCTACCTCTAATTCTGTTGAGCCCCGACAAAGAAGCAGAACAAAACAATAGCCCCTCCACAACAACTGCATCCCATCTACATTTTTGTTCCTCATCCATAACTTAGACATGATTGTCCCTCATCCATAAATTAGATGTGATTGTCCCTCCTCTCCCCAAGTCACAATCCTGTCCAGCCTTGAGAGGTATGGGTCACAGGAAACCACCAGTGATCTAACCAGGATAAGCTTACGTCAATTTAAGTCTATGCTGCAACTGAACAGGGAGACCCTGCTTTCCACACATCCCTGCTCCTTTCCTCAGGCTGCTGTCAGTACCAGTGCCACTGGAGTACTTACTCAACCCCATCAGCTCACTAGTTCAGCTCACCTCATGACCATCTCTTCCAGCAGAATGGGGATCTCAGGTAGGCTACCCCCATTCACCTGCGTGGATCTGCCTTCACAAGTCGCCTCAGGAATTTACATTTCCAGAGCACAGTTTCAAATTAAACATAAAGCAGCAAAAAGGCTGCTACCAGAAGGGTCTGTCTCACTTCCCTTACTCTCCCTTCCTGCTTTCAGGACAACCAAGAACTCTAAAGGGTGAATAAAGTATAGCAAGTAACCCATCACAGAAGAACGGCTTTCCACCAGATAAGCTCAACGATCCAGCTCACTCTTTTGGCAGAGCATGGTTAGATACAAGTTCTAGAAGAAGGAAGAGAAGAGAACCAACATGTTCTGGTGACAGCCCATGGTTACACTAAATTATGTGTAACACAAAATCACAGGCAGCATGACCTGTAGAATCAAGATCTGACCTGTTGTTCCAAGCACCTCTACAACAGCCTTGTCAAAAGCCTAAAACCTGCGTTTGCCAAAATCAGACTCCAAAAAGGTAGACACCTACTCTACACACCATTAACACAGCATCATATTCCTTATTCATTACTTGTCCTCCTAAAACAAAGAAAGAAAACAACACAGAAACAGTTTTATTAAAAAAAAAAAACAACAAAATCCAAACAAAAAGCATTGATACCTGAGCACCCACTAGCTGCAGCAAAGCTGAGTTCACAGGAAGGAGTTCAATGTCTGTGTTGATAGTGGTCTGGTCAAAAGGGCATGCCTTACGGTGGAGCTTGTTGAGGCACATCTTGCAGACAGTGTGGCCGCAGCCCAAGCTGATGGGCTTCCGGATTGTTTCGTCGAAAGTCTGTGTGCAAATCGGGCAGGAGAGAAAATCCGTCCATTGTGGAGCTTGTACAGGCATTGCTTCGGGAGTTAACTGACAACACAAAAATCTAAAGCACAGATTCCACTGGAATCAAAATCTTTGAAAAAAAGTCTGTTTGTTTTTAAATATCTTCTGTAAGTACAGACAGTCAGCACATAGTGTGAAACATAACCTAAAAGAAAACAGAAACAGAGTTAGCATTCTCTACTGGAACAAGCATGTGAAATCCTTTGTGCTAGGTGAATGTCACTTGTAGAGCTATAGCTAAACTAGGAGCGCAGTTCTGACACTAAAAAAGAGGACTGAGTCATGACTTAATTCCAGCTACTCCCTGGAAAAGTCACTTAAAACCGTTCCTGCTGTTGTGTAGCTTGCATTGTAAAAGAACAGCAGTGGGCGAGTGGCTCAGGGCAGAGTCCGGCAGCTCCCACACGTCGCTAGGTCACACCGTGCACTGCTACCGCAGCACCGTCACACGAGCTGATCTGCACCGCGCTGCACCATGTGGGCTTACCCAGTCACACCTCAGCTACCCTGGGAACCTCCATTACTGGGTACAATACAGCACTGATAACTGCCCCTAGTCTGCCCACCAAGCAGTTCCATCCTGCAAAAGCAGGAAGAAAATTTCTAGAAGTCATGCTGGACTGGCCAAGTGACAACAGTTCCTCAAAGACCCTTTTCTAACCCTGTTTTGTATCACTCATTGCCTACCTAGAGGTTATATTGACAGAGGAAGAAATATCTTTAATGCATTGATAAATTACACTGAAACTGAGGACCTGGGAGGTCTTTATTACTTGGCACTTTTCAATCAAAATGCTAAAAGGACCAAATGTTACTCATTATAAGGGAATGGAATAAAGTACATTCCTTTGGGACAAAATAAATAAATGAAAGCAGAACGCCACATATGAGGACAAATATAAAAGAGCAGGCAAATGAAGTGACATGAAAAGAATAATTATCAAAAGGAAAACTGGTAATAAAAAAAAAAAAATTCTGATGTCTGGCATACTTTCGATTATCAGTGAAGTCAGCCAAAAAACTGTGCAGATCACAGATTTACTACCAGATTGATTTTTCTAAATTAAGCAGGAAAACAATAACAAAAACCATGCCCATCCACCCAAATGCATTAGTTTCTTTCCCACACAACACTGGCTTAGGTTTCATGACACAGAGCATGTGCTTGCTGCTAATATCTGTTCAGATAGAAAGTTCTTATATAAGCAAAACAGCAACCTGTTATCAAATCTGAGCTTGAAAAACAACCTCAAAATTAAAATCTTGATTTTAAACAAATGCAAAGAGAGAAACTTCAAGTTAAGACTTGCGCAATTCAGAATCAAAGCATTTTAAAACAGCAACAAAAATCTAATGCTAAACCAGAGACTCTGAAAAGCCTCAGGCTTTGTTCTAGAATTTAATGCAATGTTGTTCACAGGGAACATCATTTTGCCAAGGCAAACAACAAAGAGTTACTAGTTAAACTTTCAGCCATATTTCATCCATGCAACCTTAAAGCTTAGTTCTAAAGCTAATGAAAAAAACTCCTCCTGTCTTCCAGAGAGGAGGTACCATGCCACACAGCTGCTGTTTACCAGCCAACATGGGATCAATGAGAAATCAATATTACCCAGACAGGGTGGTACTGAGGAATAGGCATTGCAGGTCGTTAACCCTAACACCACCACAGCACAGTTAGATCTGCCATGGTTGTTCAGTGTCCATCCCATTCCTCCCCCCATCCTTACATCTTTAATAGCAAATCAGTTTTTTTTCCCCATCTTGTCAACAGACATCCAAAGCTTTCTTACTACTACTCTATCACCATAAACCTAATAAAAACATTTATACTTGTCAGTTATAGAGCTAACTGCTTAAAACATCGAGGAAGTTTATTTCCAAGGCCTCCCCTACTCCCTGCCCCTTTTACATATTTAAAAGTAAACCTTATTATTAGTATTCCAGCTAGAATCATTCTTTGTAAACTAACTCTGTAACAGAAATTACCCTGCAAATCCTACTTCTGCAAAGAGTCGTACACAGTTCAATCAATCCAGTGTATGTGTTAGTGTGCTATGAAATACCACTCCAGGTTCAAAATTTAAGAGCTGAATTGTATTTTAATACCAGTGCAGTAGAAAGGAAGCAATATCTACCAACAATTTCCCAGACTCATCTTCAATTCAGAAACAAATGGAATAGTTTATTTGAAATATTAATTATTAACCTAGCGTTAAGGAAAAGAGCAGTTTCTTACTAACTGAGGAAATCGAAACCCAGAAGCTAACAGGAAGCTATACCATCAACATCACGAAGTAGATGTGGACATGGAGACTACACCATCCCAGGCTCGGAATGTGAGAAAAAGGAATTGAATACAACTTGTAACATGAATTAACTAATTAAAAAAATAATAATGAACAGAGACACATTTTTCCTACCTGTACCTATAAACAATCCAGAGAGCTGGCATAATGAAACAGGTTGTGTTTATTTACCATCTCAATGATTGAAAGAAGTTTGGGGGCTCTGGGGAAGAAGGGAGTTATTAGCAGTATCCCTGATGAGATGTCAGGGCAGGTCTCAAAAGGCTGGAGAACAACAGAAATGGAGCTTACACCTAAGCATGACTCTCAGAAGGGTCCTAATGAGCCTAAACCTGGCACTGAACTGCCAGAACAGACACATACATCACCCATGAGTGGGAAACATATAGCCCTCCCTGGCTGAAGATACACAATCACTAGAGGCACATTTCACCAGTGGTGACAGTTCCCCCTTCTCTCCTACCACTCATTTCACCAGACTCTGCAGTGCCTGTGGACACAGTGGTGCCTAAATACCACAAGACAACAACAGATAGCACTGACAAGAGAAAACACAGCTGGGAGAAACCTCAGGAAATCATCTGTTTCAGAACAGTTTAACTACTGGAACAGATGGCTAACTGCCTTGACCCAGCCAACCTTTTCCCCACAGGAGAAAAGAATTGCTGTTCGAGCAACAAACCCTGCTCTGCTAGTAAATCTCCCAAACAGATCAGCACAGATCTGTGAAATTCCTCTGGTCCCGTGTAAGACAGGAACGGCATCGCTGGCACTGAATTTAGGAGCTGCATATAGGCTGGCACCAAACCAACTGCTGCCGCCTCCGTGGCTTTCCACATACACAGTCCAGTTTTCCTCCTTGATCTTCAGTCTTCACACAGGGAAGCAGAGTCAAGTGCTGAGATAACAAACCTCTTCCAGTCACAAAGCATACATATGGGGTATACGCATAAGAAGTGAAGCTGGGAAAGGTGTGTTGCTTTCTGCAAGGTATGTGACTTGCTATGACCTTGGAAATTAAATATTCTCTAACTTCAAAGAGCTACCTTAAACAGAAGATATTACAAACAGCAGTAGAATGATGGAAACAAGACCATTTCATTACCACAGAACAGCTATTGGAACCATCATCACTACAGCAAGAGAACATTTCCCTAGGCAGATAAGGTAGAAAAAGTATAGACACTTTCACAGTACAATTTTTTTTCTTTAAAAGTTTCTCTCCAGCATTCTGCCAGAATTGAGCAAAATGCAAAGAACACAAACATTTATGAAAGACATGCCCACTAAAATAAAATCCCTCCTCCCCACAATATTATGCTATTTTTAACTCATCCTCTCAATTCTCTAAGTAGTTAACACTTATTAGCTTCCCACACTTCATATATATACACACACACACACACATTTCTTTATGCATGACTGAGGAAAATAAAGATATGTCAAAACCCAAGAAAACAAAAAACTGAATACACATCCACAGTACATAAACTGGAATATAGGAATCTGTGATTAAGATGCCCCAACACACAGACCTTGAGTATTACACTGAGACCACAGACAAATCTATTTCATTATTTCTGAGTTTGAAAACACAAAATACCTGTATGCAAGTCTCCTTGTCCCGCTTAGCCCTGCATAAGTTGTTTTATCCACAGCTGGAAGAACCTGAAAAAAATTCTCTTCTCTTCTTGGTCCTTCCCAACCCCTCCCCGCCCCCCAAAAATCCCTGAAATTCCATCCTTCAACCCAGACTGGAAATGTCACGCTGTAATGAGATCAGTGACCTGTCTCCTCTGGGACCTTGCCAGTGCTTCGGAGAAAGACAGGATCTCTCTTGTAAACCACCGGGACAACTGCTCAATGCTTTATCACTTTCTTTACTCTGCCTGCCTAGAACGCAGAGGGGCAACGTGGTCTCCTGTCCAAGCTGCGTTATGCCCTTGATGACCAGCGCCTTCCACAAGCAGCTACAAAAAGCTTTGCAGATTCAATCCTCGAGAACAAGACGTTTTAAAAATGCAGAATGCTTTGTCCCAATATCCACCTGCATCAAGTTTCACACACGATGACATACAGGAAAATTCTTCTGCTTTCAGTTAAAATTCATCTCCCTTCACACTAACCGCATTCTCCACGTCCTTCGATAGAGGCACAAGCATACACTGACTCCTCTCACAAATACGGTATCTGGACTGAATGTGTAACTAGCCCCGATGTACCACGTGCTACTTCGTCATGCACAAGTTAGCCCTGATCTCTGCCAGCAGCAGTCCACAGCAAGTCATGTTATAGTTTAAGGCAGATGACTCAGCACACCTAGGCCACCCTCTGCTTGGTTTCTGCCATTTCGATACATGCAGCTCCTCAGAGCGTTACCTGCTCCTGTGCTTTTATGCATCTCTAGTGTATTTAACAAGGCATTTCTTACCCAAGTAATATAACCATCTTCTCGACATCTCAAGACCCAAATTTTGAATAATAGTAATTTTTATAGTCTGCTTTTGTTTTAGTCCTGAAGCCGTTTCATTTTTGCTAAGTCTGACTCAGAAATAAAACGAGCAGAACTTCCTGTAGCAGTTAACAGGGAATATAGAAGTAAGCCTATTTAGTGCAAAGCTTAGCACCAAAGCAGCTCCTCACTGCCAAAACAAACTTGGACCTGCCAACTGATCTGCTCACGTAAATACAGCTCTTGGC